AGCCGGGAAGTAGCGGCAGTAAAGCCAAACAAAGCTTTTTAAACGTGCCAGGCGCCATAATATACGTTAATATAACGTGAACAGAGGCGAAAATCATAAAAGAGAAAACGAAGTTGGCTGTCCGAGTTTTGAAGGTTTTCACGCTCAGTTAGATTGGAAACTTAGGAACGGTATTAAAATCAAACACAGCTAACCACCGTATAGCATATAAAGTTTCTCGTTCAAAAACAAAACAGGAATGATGAAAAATTTAACCCAAACTGGCATGACTTAAAATTCGTACAATTCATTATGGTGTTAGCGACTGCGATCATGCTGAGATCGATCGCGGCTGGCTCATCACGGCGATCTCCGATCATGGCAGTGAGGCAAGCCTCAGAAATTACATCGTCCGCCCTTAAAGAGAACAACTAAGAGCTTCCTCTGATATTCTTTCCGATAGGTTGGGTGGAAGGTTCCTGTGAATTCGGCTGTCGTTCATTCATAAAACACACACCTTGAGCAGTTTGTTTTCTACTTGTCCGTGCAAAAACTTGCGTGTTTTTATGAGCCATAATTCGGCCGGATTTCAATAACCGTTTCACTTTCAGATCCTGTTAAAAAAAACTTCAGGCGAAAGAATTAAATTTGACGCGCCGAACTATTTCAGGTTGTGAACCATTGCAAAGTGAACTTTGATGGTTTGAAAATTAAAATTTATTTTGAAAGTGGTGAGTCATACGTGGGGAATTTGACAGATTCTTTATTATAAAACAAATGAAGAAGCCTAAACTGTGCTCTGTTCTGTTGTAAAGTACTTAATAAGCGGTTAGAGCACTCCAGAAGTAGGGAGAAACACTTGACTACGTCTCGTGTTTCCCCATACACTTTAGAGTGGTTTAGCAAGAGGACGGGAACGTCATTTCAGAACGGCGCGCGCAGCAAAAATGGCAATAAGAAACTGGGTCGAGAACGCCGTCGTGTTGTTTTGAAAAGTGATTTAGCAGTCGTTGCAACAAAAATCCTCACCTCGGCTTTTTAAAGATCACCATCACCTTTGAATTTTCGGTTTTATAGACCACTCTAAGGACAACGAAATTATCTTCTTTGAGAGCTATGTAACAAGGGCAAACAGAGGATAGTTTTAGATACGGCAAGTAAGTTGTTAATATGAATCCACATGGACGATTAACAATGGTAATTGAACTAAGTGGAGTGCAATTTGGGCTGAAATCATACGCGTGATTCCAAAATCGAACGAGCGCGCAGCGCAAGTTCGATTTGAAATCACAAGTATGATCTCAGACCAAAATTGCACGACACGAGGTTCAATTACAACTTTTACATCCATTTTGAAATAGCCCAAATACAGGAATTGGTCAGTTCAAATATTTTATTGATGCAGATCTGAGCCGGTCTGAAATTAATTTCATCCATTTTTTTGGGGGAAAAAGTGAGAGTTTTGGAAACAAATGTTGCAAAATTTGCCAAATGATATTCTTTGTCTTTCATTTTCCTGCAATTTGATCGGTTACTTTAAACAAGCCTTGAAATCTGATTGGTTGTTTTGTTTTTAGTGTAGCCCCCTCATTGGCTGGGAAAAAGTTGCGATTTAAAGCAAAAAATGGTGCGGTTCGTGAATAAATCGCATCAATTAAAGCCAATCAGATTACAGAGACCACCAGTGATTTCAAAATAGTTGTAATAAAACTTTGAAACTATTCCATTCCAGTTTAGTCTCGAGTCTGCTGATTCTTCTATCAAATTTTGAAGCGCACTAAATAATTTTTTTTCTAAGATTTGCGTCGCTTTCATTTCGTTTCATGCTACTAGATTTCAGCACTACTCGTTTTTCTTCATAATGTTGTAAAGGATAATTTGGAAATCGTCGTCGTTTTCCCCTTGTTTACAGAATATTCTTCTCTATTATGACAGTACATCTCTTTTAAGCACCACCTTCTTAGAATTAAAGTGCATTTTGAACGGAATTATCAAGAGTTATGGCGAAACCATGTAGAAACCAAGCGACCCAAGGATGGAGTTGTTTACGATGAGTTCCTATTTATTCGTGAAAGAATGAAATTAACTCAAAATAGTCACCAACGAAACGGTTAGACTTAAAATAAGACTTCGTTCCTGTTTATTCATTTTTTTTTCGTCTTTGTTTAATTTATTTTTTTTTAAACGAATGAAGTCGTTCAAGACTGAATCAAATTAATAGATTTAGAAAGCCGTGACGAAATCGAGTTGATTGTCATTTTATTTCGAATCGAGAGCATGACTTTCTTGTCTTAGTTTTCAGCTGCGCTGGTCAAAAATTTCAAACATGAAAAAGTGCAGACCTGAGCTATTCTCAATTTTTTTCATCCCTGACTGCAATTTGCAGAAAAGTTTTCAATCACGGTAAAAACGACAATAACAACAAATAACACTGAATAATACAGTAGATAAGCGTCGTGATAATTCATTTTGATAAACTTCAACATAAAGTAAGTTTAATTTATTGATGAATTGATTCATGATAAAATTAACAGCGTCCCATTCTTAGAGTTTTCATACAGGATTAAAGAAAGGTATCAAAGAACAGCCCTTTCGCTGCTTTAAGCCTTGCTCGATTACAAGTGTACTGAGCCCTAAAATCTTGGATCCGGCGCTTGCCAACGATTGTTTCCTTTCGGGAATCCAGCATAAATGAAGCGGTAAATTTTC